GATTTAGATGAGGGAATTGAGTGTACTATCAGCAAGTTTGCTGATGACACTAAGCTGGGAGGAGTGGCCGACACGCCAGAAGGCTGTGCTGCCATCCAGCGAGACCTGGACAGGCTGGAGAGTTGGGCAGGGAATAACTTCATGAAATATAACAAGGGAAAGTGTAGAGTCCTGCATCTGGGCAGGAACAACCCCAGGTTCCAGTATAGGTTGGGGAACGACCTGTTAGAGAGCAGTGTAGGGGAGAGGGACCTGGGGGTCCTAGTGGACGACAGGATGACCATGAGCCGACACTGTGCCCTTGTGGCCAAGAAGGCCAATGGCATCCTGGGGTGTATTAGAAGGGGGGTGGTTAGTAGGTCGAGAGAGGTCCTCCTTCCCCTCTACTCTGCCCTGGTGAGACCTCATCTGGAATATTGTGTCCAGTTCTGGGCCCCTCAGTTTAAGAAGGACAGGGACCTGCTGGAGAGAGTCCAGCGCAGGGCAACTAAGATGATTAAGGGAGTGGAGCATCTCTCTTATGAGGAAAGACTGAGGGAGCTGGGTCTCTATAGTTTGGAGAAGAGGAGATTGAGGGGTGACCTTATTAGTGTATATAAATATATAAAGGGGGAGTGTCACGAGGATGGAGCCAGGCTCTTCTCAGTGGCAAACAATGATAGGACAAGGGGCAATGGGTACAAACTGGAACACAAGAGGTTCCACTTAAACTTGAGAAGAAACTTCTTCTCAGTGAGGGTGATGGAACACTGGAACAGGCTGCCCAGGGAGGTTGTGGAGTCTCCTTCTCTGGAGACATTCAAAACCCGCCTGGACACGTTCCTGTGTAACCTTATCTAGGTGTTCCTGCTCCGGCAGGGGGATCGGACTAGATGATCTTTTGAGGTCCCTTCCAATCTCTAACATACTGTGATACTGTGAATTTCTTCCTGACTTAAGTCATTATTACAAAAAAAATACAGGAGTATAATAGTACCATTTGAAGACATGCACACATTCACGAAGAGCTAATTATATTGCTGAGCATTCAAACCAGATTCATTATGAACTCAACATGTGGCATAGAAGTCATTTTATCAGGGGCCTTATTCCTGCATCAAGCGAACTGAGAAGTGAAAATCCTTGCAAAAAGGCAAGAGTCATAAACATAATCCTTCAGTACACCGTGTCTCAGCACATAAGATTAAAAAGACAAACCAGAACACATCAAGACTGCAACAACAAAGAGTTTATTAGAGTCAAGAATATATAATCACTGTACAGAAAATATTCAGAGTTAAAGTGTGAAATAATGAACCGCTCACTGTGCATTCTGGTTGCTGCGCCTGTTAGTGATGATTTAATTGGCTGCCTACAGCTGGCTAACTTATCAGCACTTAAAAACATTTTTGTAAGCAGGGAAGAAACGCTTGTCCTTTCTAAAAGGTAAAATTGCCCAGGGTGGGAAATAAAGGAGCATATGAATTACATTTAGAACTTACACAAGGAACAAAGTTGGTGGGAAGGGAAGAAAGGGGACTGCCCTAACTTTGTGGCTTTTCTGCATGGAGGAACTGTAGCCTCACTGTTGTAACTTTGTACATACTTATATCCCCTACAGCAGTGATTTTATTTTTAAATAAGAAGTATATTAGCAGGTGCAACAATTTACCACAGCCTATTCCAGTTACCTTTGGCTTGAGCCTTTGAGGCTCAAACGTTTTCAGTGGAAAAAAATGCCACAGCATCTGAGCCCCAAGGACAGTATAAACAACCATTTTCCTTGTAATAACGGCTGGTGTTGAACCTTCAATGAACAGAGACTCAGAAAGCTTCTCTACCTCCTGAACTCTCTATTCTCGTGCTACCAAACCTGCAGCTTTTGCCTTCCAAAACTGGTGAAGTCCACAAGGGCTTGAGAAAGTCTCTTTCTTGAGCATTTGCTTTTTTCCACCACAGGTAGGCAAAAGGCTTATTTTCTCCAATACTAAAAGAAGACAAAAAACACACAGCACAGCATTTATTTAACTTGGTTTGCTCTCAAAGTGGTGTACTCTTAAGTTACACGTAAATTGAACATGTTTAAAAACATGGTGAAACACCTAAAGGCAGGCAATTTTCACAATCCTTTAGGTGAATAAACAGCATGGGAACCAGCTCTATCTGCCCGTTGACAAATGTTTTCATTCAATCTACACAATCCTGCTGGTAGATGTTCCCATTTTTATTTTGGCATCCATTAGGAGGAAACAGAAGCCCTGGTCCTGAGGGAAATAAACCACAGCTGCATTCTGGGATGCAGCAGGACTGGGACCTCAGCTTGGAGATATTATAAAACCATGGTACATTTACAGCTTAAATTGAGTTTGCTCCTAAGCAGAGAGCAGCCAAGCATTAGCAAAAGCCCAGACTGCACTGCTACATTTTAGGTGGGACACCCCTTAGCCCCCAGTCTTCGTTTTTTAAACGTTGCTTAACATGAGCCCTGAATGCAACTGCATTGACTTCTAAATTCACAAGTAATATAAAATGCAAAGTTATTCACTTTAACTGAAGATTGTTTCCTTCATCTGCAGAAATATATAATGCTGCTAAGATGAAAATGACTCTCCAGGGAGAAATGGCTATCCAGTCTTCATTAGCACCAACTAGAATTACTACGCATTTTTCTCCTCTTGAGCACTATTGTACAACACTATTAGCTTATTCTAAATGTTAAATTTATTTACTTTTGAGTCTTTTTTTTATAACCATTAAGGAGACAAGTAAAACATAAAAAGCTCTGTAAAATTTCTGACAGTATAATGGGTTAGAGATACATCAGAAACTATACTAAAGGCTTCATGACACAGTTTTGAACTGAACGCAGTTTACTATAGTGTTACAAAAGAACAGTATCAAGCTGATACCAAAATATCTAAATTGCCTTATCTAAGAGCTTTACTTACTACAGAGTAACACATAGAATACTGATACACACAGTTAATATAATAATCAGCCTTATTAAAAGCTCTTAAATACTTCAGTAGACAGATTCCTTGTTGACCTATTTTGAGAGGCAGTAAGACGATGAATACCTACTGAAAAACAAACAAACAAAAAACAATAGTTGCAGGGCATTTCAAATAAAAAATTGCATGGCATGAGTTTGAAATCTGCTGTTTAAGCATGTGTTGTAATACTTATGTATAGCTTGGCTGGGTTTTTTTAAGGCACCTTACATTACTATTAAGAGCAAGGCCACTGGCCTCTTCAGTTGGCCATTGTGCAGGATGACCCCTTTACAAGAAACTCAATGATGCATTAATTGTTCAATTGTTCAACAATCTACAGACTGTGAAGACTCCAGCATATTCTTACTGCCTCGGACAAAAAGATAATGATTTTGACTAATGAAGCACTAAGTATTACTATAAAGCATCCTATCTCACTTGCAATATAAAGAGAACAGGCATTAATTACATTTAATTGTGATGGATTAGTTGTAAGTTTTTTAAAAATACATAAATAGAGCTCAGATTCTTAAGACTCCTGAACTGCTGATTAATTTGTGACTCTTCTTTTTGTATGGTCCTCACAGATACAGAGGGAACTGTGCAAGTGTAATTATTTGAACATGAATGAAGGCAATAATCTGAACTCCAATCTAACATCACATGGAGCCAAGAGATGCCCTATGCACTTAAAAAGCAACTATGGTTTGTATTTTAGGTACCTCACCCCAGAAGTAGAAAGGAAAGCTAAAAGCATGAGGCAGCAAACTCAAGGAGTGCAAGAACGCCTCAGGAGAAACACCCCTAAGGTATTCAAGATGGAACCCAGCATCAGCCAGCTGGGGAGGTAAAAACCCCATAATGAGACAACTGGATCAGGCCTGCACCAGTGGCTGTCACATCAGCTTATTTGGTACCCAAAGTGCCATACACACTGTGGGCTTGATTTTTAACTCCCCAAAATTTGGATGGAAGATGCAATTGGTGTCTGCTGCATACAACTGTTGCTTACAACACCAGTGCTGGGACCTACAAGCCTGGGGTTCAAATTCTTGTGTACTTTTAAGTATTCTGAAAGAATATATCCTATGATTCTAAAAGCAGTTGTAAGTGCTGAAGAAAGGTCAAGCAAGAACAAGGCTGAATGGAAAAAGGTCACCTAAACCAAACCTGTGAACTCTGACTTTGTAATACAGTTTCACAAGTAACAGTAATAATTAACAGGGAGAGGCTGGCAATCACCTAAAAGATGCCTTTATAAAAAGTGACTGTCAGTATGTGATTTAAATAAAGGTCTACACACATATCTGAAGCATTTAAAATTTTAATCTTGAATCTTTGTAGCTACTTTTTCCTTGAACCCCAAGGTATATGCTAGGAATTTTTCACTTTATCTTATTACTGTCCTCCACCCTACATTCAAAGTAATCCATAATGAATGACAACAAATTTTGCAACATTTTCATATAATTACACTCATTTTTTTTCCCTTCATGTGAAAGATCACCTTTATTAAATATATATGCAGATGGAAATTACATTTTTGCTTCTTACCCTGCATGACTGTGTAATTCTTCAAAATAAAAATTAAGTTTGCAGGAAACAACAGATTAGTTGGAAGACCTTTAGCAAAATGGATAACCATAAAAATAGTTCTTCTCAGTTTATATCAGAATTTGATCAGTTTTTTGAAGAAAAAATCAATGAAAAAAACCTGGCATAATGACTGGCTTTTCAGACTGGTTTCATTTTTCCTCTCAATTCCATTTCTTGTCATGAGTCTAATACTTTAGGCAAACAGTGTCATATCTTAAATCCATGATAAACACAAACTAAGTATGTCAGATGGCTTTAGGTAAAAAACACAGCCAATTAAAAGAAGAAATGCTTTTGTAAACAGAGCTGTATTCAAAATGAGAAGTAAACATCTCATTGTCTTACTGTGGCTTGTAGTAACACAGCACATATACATGTGGTTAAACATTTCAACCTCCATACTAGAGCAAGAACAAACTGAAATAATAAAAGTAGCAGAGACAGTAAGTTATTACCACCCCAGACCATTAGCAAGAATCAGATAATGCATGAGATGGGAACTCTGAAGACCATTAGTCCAGCCTCCCTGCTCAAACAGGATCAAACACAAATAGTTGCTCAAGATATTGTGCTATTGGGTTTCAAGTACCTTCACAGAAGGAGACTCTACCACAGAAGGAGACTCTGGGAAACCTCTCCCAGCATCTGATTACCCCCACGTTAAAAATAACGATTTCTTTATGTTTAGATAAGTTTCCTGGTTTTCACCATATAATCACAGAATGCTTTGGGTTGGAAGGGACCTTAAAGATCATCTGGTTCCAACACCCCTTTAGGTACTGGAAGCTGCTCTAAGGTCTCTCCAGTGCCTTCTCTTCTCCAGGCTGAACCAGCCCAGCTCTCTCAGCCTGTCTCCGTAGCAGAGGTGCTCCAGCCCTCACAGAATCTTTGTGGCCTCCTCTGGACTTGCTCCAATAGGTACACGTCCTTCTTATGATGGGGCCCCAGAGATGGACGCAGAACTGCAGATGGGGCCTCACCAGAACTGAGAAGAGGAGGAGAATCCCCTCCCTCAACCTGCTGGTCATGCTCCAGCACAGCACACTTCCTACAAGCAAGGAGCGCAATTCTCACTGTCCCAGTGAGAGGTCTCAGCCACCTCCTACAGCCCCAGATCTGAAAAACTGCATTATCCCTCAGGATCTCCATCTGTGTTGAGGCCTCTGAAACAAGGGATAAATGTTCACATAGCCGGTGGGGATCATGTTCTGTGGTACAGTGCAATGTTGGAGGAGATACAGATGCTGTTATGTGAAGAGTTCCTGGCTCCTTCTGTGCAATCTGCTGTGCCTGTTAATGATCAAAAAAACTAGCTGGAATGCAGAGTTATGGAAGTCTAGCAGAGGTAGGAAAGAAAGGAAGTTTATCTTCAATCATTTACTTTGGGAATGAAAACTAAAGATGTTCTGGATTGTTCTCCCAGAACTCCGTGTTTCCAATTTGTGGTTCTTACTTTGGTAATATAATCAGTTACATCCCACTCAGCATGTTTGCTAAGATGCATTAAAAATGTTTCTAGGACTACTAAGAGCCTGCTCTCCAGTCCTGCCAGCAAAAACACACTTCTAACTTTCTGAAAAACTAACTAAAACAAATAATAAACAATGAAGTTAAGTCTTGAACTAACCACTCACAACCTCTCATCTCACTCATCTGTCACAGAGACCACTGAGAAATTATCTCACCTGCGCAAACTTATGTATCTGCTCCACCACTGCTGCAAAGAGGGCATGGACACTTTCATCAATTAGACTCTGCATATAATGGACAGCTTCTTCATCAGACAGGTCCAAACGAAACTTGTCCTGCACCTGGAATGGGGATGGAGATGATGAATATTAATTCAACATTCATTAAAAAAAAATAAAATGCCACCTCAGAAAAAGCATACAACTTCGCATGTTAAATTCAGAGTTGGAAGAGTCTGGACGATCCTAACCATTTTTTAAAGTTTGTAACATTTCCTCATTCTAAACGTACTTTCAGATAATATTGCTGCCTTTCATAGACTGTAAGGCAGTAAGAATACAGAATCAGAGGATGGGGTGAGCAAATCGACCCTGCCAAAACTGACCTTTATGTGGCGGGTGAGGATTTCATTAACTTTTATCATATCCATCATCTATTAACAGTTGGAGACACTGTTGTTTCTCCTTCTAACAGCAACGTATTTTAACTATTGTATCACTAACACATTTTCCTTACTGCCTGCATTTCTTGTGTGAATTGAAAGCTGAAATGCACTGTAATTAAGAAAGCAGCAACAGCTACTTTCCCATTTCAGCCTTGGCAAGGTCTTGACCCATGAGTATTTACCATGGTGCAGTGAATGACTTTCTAGGAGTTCCAACCAAGTAATTTCATATCAGTTGTTCAGGACTGCTCCTGAGGCCATTTCCTCTCGTTCTATTGCTTTCTGCTCTCTTGGAGAAGGGATCAACCCCCAGCTTCAACTCCTTTCAGGCAGCTGTGGACTGCGATAGGGTCTGCCCCTCAGTCTCCTTTTCTCAAAGCTAAACACTCCCCCTCCCCTTAGCATCATGTTTGCTATCCCCCAGTCAACTGGGACTTCACCAGTGAGACAGGATTGTTCACGGCTCATGACTGAAAGTGGCTTGGTAAGTGCTTCTGCCAGCTCCATCAGTACCCTTGGCTGGATCCTATCCTGCCCAGAGACCTGTGTGTCTATGTGTTGCAGCAGGTTGCTGACCATTTTCCCCTGGATTATGGGGGCTTCATCTTGTTCCCGGTCCCTGTCTTCCAGCTCAGGGGGCTGGGTCCTGCTATTAAAGACTGAATCAAAGAAGGCACTAAGGACCTCAGCCTTTTCCTCATCCTTTATCGCTATGTCTCCCCCCTCATCCAATGAAGGGCAGAGATTCTCCTTAGCCCTCCTTTAGTTGTTAATGTATTTAGAGAAACTTACTGACCTTCACAGCAGTACCCAGATTAAGTTCTAGTTGGGCCTTGCCCTTATGATTTGTCCCTGATAACCTCAAGACAGCTTTGCAGTCCTCCTGAGTTGCCTTATTCCACATGCCATAAACTCTCATTTTTTCCTGAGTTCCATCCAAAGCTTTCTGTTCAGCCAGGCTAGTCTGTTCCTCACCAGCTCATCTTCTGGCAGATGGGACAGCTGCTTCTGGGCCTTGAAGAATTCCTTCTTTAAGAATGCCTGGCCTTCCTGGACTCCTTTGCCCTTCAGGACTGCCTCCCAAGGGACTCTGCCAACCAGGCTCCTAAATAAGCCAAAACCTGCCCTCCAGAATCCAAGGTGGCAGTTCTGCTGACCCCTCAACCTTACTTCTCTGAGAAGTGACCAAGACAGCCTCCAACCACCACATCATCCACAAGTCCTTCTCTGATCACTAGCAACAGGTCCAGCAGGTGCTTTCCCTAGCTGGCTCATTCTCTGTGTCAGGAAATTCTCTTCCACACACTCCAGGAATCTCCCAGACTGTTTCCACTCTGCTGTGTTGTATTTTCAGCAGACATCTGGTAAATTGAAATCCCCCATGAGAGCAAAGACTAGAGATAGTGAGACTTGCCCCAGCTGAACATTAAAGAATATTCTGTCTACCTCTTCACCCTGGATGGGTGTTGTACAACCAACTCCAACCATGGTATTTGCCCTGCTTGTTTTCTCCCTGATTTGCACCTAGAAACGTTCAACCCAACTGTCACCACCATTAAGCTCTACACAATCAAAACGCCCCCTACCACACAGGGCTACCCCATTGCCTTTTCTTCCTTTCCTATCTCTTCTGAAGAGTTTACAGTTACCCTTGCAGCACTCCAGTTGTGTAAGTCATTGCACCATGTTTCCAGAAGAGCAACTATGTCACAGTTATCCTGATGCACAGTGGCTTCCATCTCCTCCTGTTTGTTGCCCATGCTGTGTGCACTGGTGTAGATGCACTTCAGCTGGGCTATTGATCCTGCCACTTTTTTGAGGGATTGAAGTCCTAATTCCTGCACGACCATTCTCAGGTACTTCTACCACACCAAATAACCCTCACGTCTTTGCGCTGCATCATTTCCGTCTACTATCTCCACTGAGATAGCAGACCGAAGGACCTCACTAGCACACCGTACCTCAAATGCTGGCATGCTAGTCCCAGGCTTATCTTTAGTGAGACTGGCTTTATCACTTTCCCCCTTCAAATCTTGTTTAAAGCTCTTTCAATAAGCCTAGATCCTAGCATTCTCTAATAATATCTATCCTGCAATTCAAAACTACTATTCACCTTACAAAGTAGTGCTCATTGCAACATGAAAATTGCCCGGCAAATTCACATTACTTGCACAAAATTAATTGCTGCCATCTAATCACATGCTTCATTCTCATAAATTTCAAATGATGAGAGCTCTTGTGGAGACCATTTTATTCATCTGCTTCAGTCTCCTGCATAATGAGCCAGGTAAAATGGTATCAAACATCAAGTATGTAACTTGTCGTTTATCTCAGAAAATCTCTTTTATGCAGTCTTTATACTGAGACAATGTTGCATATGTGAGGTAAACTGTTTCAATGATTAATTGCCCTATTTAGCAATTGTGACTTATTTCCTACCTGAATTTGTCCAATTTCCATCTCAAACCATTGAGCTCATTAAAGCTTTTTACATTAAAGAACTGTCCATCGGCAATCTCTCTCATACAGGCAAATATCGAACGATTAGAGCTGAACCTTAACTTTCTCCTCGATGTGACTAAGGAGACTGAATCGAGTTTTTCCTGAATATTTTCTATATATTCACTTTTTTAAGCACTGACAAAAATGTAAGCCAAATTATTTCAACAATGTTCTTAAGAAGGTCCTATCTATGAGATACTACCTCCTCCTCCTGTTTTGTATTCTTTCTTTGCACCAAGGATACCACACATGCAATCACCCTCTTTATCACAGCAAAATACTCTTGATATTTCAGTTTAGTATTACTCTCAATTCTTTTCAAATGCAATGTACTCCAGAATAGTGCCCTTTAGTAATACACTAAAAAAAGACAAGTTTGCCTGCCAAGTATGTAAAAGTAATGCTGCTTCACTCAAGTTATAACTGTTGCTGGTATTTTTAAAACAAGCATAAATAGAGTTTTTCCTCACCTTCCCCTCAAAAAGAAGTTTTATAGATATGAAAGGATAGATTTAGCAAATAAAAGTTCAAATTCTCAAGGAAGCAAGTACCAGCAAAAGATTTAGAACATATTTCAGGCTAATATTACAGAACTTTAATCTTCATGAGTAACATGATGAGAAGGAAGTTTATCATCTCCCACAGACATATTAGAAGCTTGACAGCCACAGAAGCAAACAGTAGAATACAACTGACTATCCACTGGCTTGCAATTATGCACAAGCTTAAATACCTCCCCAAATTATAGCACAGACTTCTATCAGATCTATTTTCACGCTCATAGAAAAAGTATTGTAGTAAGAATTCAGCAAAATTCTTAACTGCACTTTTGAACGCAAAACACTGCAAAGGTCTTCTACACAACTCTAGCAATCAAGAACTTCAGTGATTTTATAATAGGTTCGTAGAAGAACTTCATAGAAAGTTTTGCAGTCATACTAAGATGCAGCTTCATTCTATGAAATTAATGACAACTTAAACCCATTTCCTACCTTCCCCAGGAACACACTGCCACAGTGATACATGTGAAAGAAATTTAACCACAGTTAGGTCTTAAAATCAGTTCGCAATTAAAGCAGGATAAAATGATGTCAAGTACTAGATCTCTGCATGGAAGTTTTTCAGCACTGCAATTAATACTGACTGCTGCAGTCTAGCACAGAAGAAACATGGCAAGATGACAAATTACCGCCCAAGCTGCAACAGCAGCAGCAACATTCATATACACTGACTTACAGTTCTTCTAACAATACCAGCAGTAATTATTATTATAAACAGGTTATTTTCTGGGGGATAAAACTTCAGTGAGTTACAGAATTATCTCATGCTACACACTTAATGGCTACTATGAAGGCAACAAAAATGTCCCACCACAGTTCTCACTTTGGCATTTAAATTAAGTGAATTGTTTTAGTTTACTCATTAGTATTTGTCAAAGAGAAAATAAACATACTTGATGAATCTGGTTAAAGCTTTGCTTTGTTTCCTTAAAGGGAAGATTAAACCCCATACAACATACACACACTGATTTTAAACACCATGTCTCAAGAGCAGAATTTGAATGTTTAAGGATGAAAAGGATAGATAAAGAACTAGAAAGTCCACAGAGATACTGAGATTCAAGTTTAAGGTTTCAAATTGTCCACTTCCTATTTCCCTGCACAGCCGGTAGTTTAGTAATAAAGAATAAAAGAACAGGATTGTGCAGTTATATGACTAGAAATTTTATTATGCAGTCAGTTACATTCCATTATTGCTGCTCCTTGCAATGAGTTTCTCAGTATCTGCAGAGAATGCTGGTCAAAGCATTAATTAAAAGATTCTCCCTTCTTAAATGCAAAGATAAACTTATACAGCACTTATCCTTAATAGGGACTACAATTACATTTACACATGCTGTTTATAATCAGGTCACAGTTTGAAGATACATTGTTATGCTTTCTGGAATAAACATAAAGATTAAGGGGCTAAGATACAGGGGCAGGGGGGTGAAATAACAAAAACAGATTTCAGTTTTGACTATACTTCAGCTGAACACTTGCCCTAAAATCCCAAACCCAAACCACAAACACCACGTGAGATCCTAATCAAAATCAGAATTAATGTCCTCTCCTCCTCTACCTGCCAGAGTGAAACAAAATACCTCAACTCAAAGCCAAGGGTCACTTCATCCAT